ACCCCCTGTTTATTTATTGAATCATATTTGAAGTTTTCCAATTACCAGCAACAAGCATTTTATCCCGATTATAATAACACCCCAAATAAAGGCACTGTTTGTCTCCCTTTATTAAGACAAGCAACACTCAAAAATGTTATGAATACATGGCACTAAAAGATTTGGTTTGTTTAAGATATCAAATCTGCAATTTAATCGCTGTATTAAAAATGTGCTTTTGCCACATTTCTACGAATGAATTCAAATTTTGACCTAAGTTTGATGGTATAGACGTATAGATTACAATTAGAAATGTTTTATGATGAGTCTATGTAATTTTTGTTTATTATACTTAAACGCAATAAACTTTATTACTAATTTTAGGTAGATAGTTATTGTAATATTGTCGAGGGGAAACCTATTTCACGGATCGATTCTTAAGGTTTGACCTGACAAATTTTCATACCGATTAAATGCTAAAATGTGGGGTTGTAATCAACACACAGGGAAATTCTTCTTTTATAATTTCGAACGGGATTAAGAGTTACATATGCTTTTTTTTATTTATTTGATCCTTGAGTATAAAGCTTTATGAACAGAACGTCAACTAAAGTACCTACCTTCAGAATATTTTCGACATTTAAAATAATTAGGGTATACATACTCATGGGTGACCGCCATACTCGGTGGTAGAAAGACTTTGAATTTTACGTAAAAAGGGGTTATCAAAAAAGGACATATTTTGTTAGCCAAAATTTCACGTAACGGAGACATGGTATCAGCTCGTTACACATTTTTTCCATTTTGTGTTGCGTTTGATTATAATTATACTTAGAATAGACTAAAATTCGGTCAATTTGATAAAATGGTGGTTACTTACAATTTTTTTTGCTCATGTGGTCAGTTATTGAAATTGGAAGAACATTAAGACATTAAAAAAAACACTTTGATGACCCAAATTCATTTACAATTTTCTTCAAAGCTCTTAAAAGAAAACTCGCCCCGGAATATTTGCTTTTAAGGAAAGTTCGCCCCCCTGCTGGAATACTCGTTCACCAAGGCTTGCTTCACTAAAAACAAATTTACGTTCAGAAGAAGCTCGCATTCGAAGTACCCGTCTATTTCGGCCTCAAGAAAAATTTCGCGTCCTTAACATAACTACTCATTGGGGTATTCGGCCCCGCTGGAAAAATTGAAGTTGAGAAAAGTTCGACATTGAAATAATTGCTAGGTGTGATAAAATTTAAAATCAACCAGGAAAATTTACTCTCAGGATACCGCCCCTTGAAGGTCCTCCCTATCACGCTACGTACCCGGAATAGTAGCTGCTCAGCTTTCCGCTCTTAAGAAAAATTCTCCCCAATAAAAAATGACTCGCTCCGTAATACACCCTCGCGAGGAACTTGTTCCACAAAATTCATGTACAGGAAGTACCAGAAATCCGCCCTGGAAATAAGTGCAATGTATACTAATTCTAAAGAAGTTCTAAAGACAGTCCTCCAGGTAAATTATTCTGAAGAAGATTTTGCGCTGAAAGATCCTTTATGTAACTTTAGGAACTGTTATCACTGTGCACAAGTAAAAAATGCAACTCAATGTACTCAAGCTACTAACAGAGTGGGATATTCCTCCTGGCATTAACAAATTGTTTGCTACATTTACATTTTGTATTTTATAATTTATGATTAGAAGCTGGCAACTATCAATCAAATCAGAACTTGCTCTTGAAATCGAAAATAATCATAAATGTACTACAAACTCTCGACAAGACCTTGTATAGATTTAAATGCTCCGAATATTTATGTTATTGATGCTTGATGGTATGCCGTTTGTTCATCAAATTCAATTACAGAAACTTAAAACCTTTGGAAGGATCATAATGAATCTTGTATTTGATAGATGTATCGATAACATTTCTCGAATCAAATTTACGGAGTTAAGAGCAGTGTGTCAAAAATACCTTAATTACCATCAGTCATCATACTCAAATACCAAGTTCTAAATTTTTCCTCTCGAGTACTGAAAATAAATTCCAACTTGTTCGATTTCTCTGTACTTCTGCTTTTAGGTACATATGCGAAAGTATAGGAAGACTGTTAAACTCGCGAAAGAACAACTGAGTAATTATAAAAATACTTTAGTACGGGATCGGAGCCCGCCCATAAAGGTCCTATGTCCACCCTGAAGAGTGACTGGACGACACTTTCAACTGCAAGAAATAAATTCGTTTGCCAACCTATCTCGACTCGCATTTACCATTTATTATTATTGTGTCATTTTTCATTACCCTTAATTTACTAAGGTGTACTTGCGCTGCAACGTGAAAAATTTAAACTAAAATTGCGGTGGCCATCGAATTACTGACCAATCTCAACTACATAGAATATAGATAATCGGTTTAATTTAATTTAATAAAGTTGGGCCAAAAGAACACCAAACTCCCGGATTAGTTTACCAATTCGCCAATGTGGTTACACACGTTCAGAAAAACTCAAACTCAAAGAATTGACCCTATCTATCTTGCGATGTTTACACAATTTCCCACACTAAATCTCACGAGAATTAAGAGCAAGTACATAGGTAGTATTTATTTAAAAGGAGAGCTTCGCTTAAGACCGATTCTGTAGGGTGTAGGTTTTTTTAACGTACATTTATGGGTTAGATGGAAGAGCAGGGGTAGACTTTCTACTCCTGAATCTCGCCCTAGGCAATGTATTTTTCGTGGCTGTTGAATCCAGCAAGCTGAGTTGGGGTAGATGTTGATTTGAAATAAGAACAAGTGCTTTCACGGTTCCTTTATTCTAGCACCTTACACTAATTCTTACACTAAATGGACTGTATTTACCAACTACGCTTACTGAACTAAACTTAAGCCTAGAAAACATATGAATATAAAGTAAGGTGGTTAGCTCGGTGGTTAGGGAGTCCTTTTCCCAAAATGGGCGGATATTGCCGCTCGTTAATCATGGCTCACTTCTAATTCTCCGTGTCGAATTATGAGTTCGCTCCCTAACAGTGGCTAACCAAAACAAAATCAATAAAGACCGTTATTATTATTGTTATTATTATTTTTCTTGGAGTTGATTCCTTGCGAGACTATATCTACGGGGGCATCAATTTCTGGAGGATGAATATTTTGGGAGATTAAATGTGGTCTGAATCTTTCGATGTCGAGTTTTCCGGAAGAAAATTCCATGTGCAAATCGTTATTAGGGGCGAATCTTCCCGGAGGGAATTTTTCGGAGTCGAATTTACTTGATTAACATTCATAGATTAGGTGGATCTTGTTTGTTTAATTATTCATTATTTACCTACATCAAGTTCAAGTCTAGTTCTAGTAATAGTATCATAGTGTAAAGCTTTTCATTACACTATGGTATTATACGTCTTAAAAATCAAGTCAAGTTTAAAGTAGCTACTCGTACTCGATTTTCAAGTCAAGTAAGTACCGATAATCATCTAGCTACTTCACTTGAATCACTAACTTCAATTCACAAATTTATTATCGTAATTTTTTAAATTAAAATGTCGACTCGATTTTGTTTAGTTTATATATATACTCAAATTCTCTCTTATATATATATATACTCAATATTGTTACAATTAATATTTCGTTAACCTTAAAAACGGTTGATTAGGGATCTAATTAAAAATTGCTGTTATTTCTGAGCGTATATTTGATTTGAGAAAAAAAGATTATCTGAGGTGCAGTAAGTATACACTTTTTGACCATTCTTCGGGAGTAATGTTTTAAAACAGAAAGTATTTTAGTTGTTATGGGTTTTGGGTTTCTAATATAACCCTTGTGCAGTAAAAATTTCGGCATCCTATTTCCATTAGTTTTTCTTATAATATAGTAATTCACTTAAATTATCCTTTGCTTTCGTGTGTTTACATAGGTTGCAGGCTAAAAGGCCTATACATGGATGCGCCCTTGGTCATTTGAGTAATGTAAGAATTCATAAAACTGTTCTACATATTTATTATCAGTTACACGTTTTGAAAAGTCCGTTAATGCGATTCTTTCATATAGCTCAGAACTGTATAGCAGTCCGATTTTAGTACTTAAATTCTGCAGTGCTTTCAAATAAAACGTCCAAACGATTTCGGCTGAGAAAATTGTCAAAAAACCCATCTTCTTAGCGTTTGAGTTCTATAAATTTAAATGTTTTAATTACTACCTACTATATTACCATTTTTTACTCAAGTCTGTCCTATTGTGTAATAAATATGACTATAGGTGAAACCCATCCTTTATTTAATAATGGAAGTCTAGATTAGAAAAACATTTGTATACCTAATATATATAAATGGCACAAATTCCCGTTTAACCCTGTCATACCTTACCTTTTTACTGATTAAGAAATGAAATTTTGCGTTGTGACAAACGCATAGGGAAGAGACTCATTTAGCATTGCTATTGGCCTTACTTCATACGTAGGTATACTTCCTTCGTCCTTTGAGTATAAAATTTTATTATCCAAATCTAAATCAGAATAATTAAACTAAACGAGTATATCTTGATTGAGTGCGGCATTAGGTGGTGAAAATCCGCACATTTAGTTCGTTTAGAATTTTATGTAAAGGTCAGATATGGAAGTATTTTCCGACTCCGAGCCAATATTCCATCAAAGCGAAATGCTATAAAATATCACTTGTTGTGTTTCTCATTTTGTGAAGAAGGTGATCAAATATTAAAACAAATTATGTTTCGTTGGACGAAATCACTAACATAAATATTGAGAGAATGAGCCCAATTAATCGAGAAAATGTTGGCTACTTACAATAACTTTGATCTTAGCGCGCTTTAATTTTCGTCTTTCCTCTTCAAAGCATTAACATTTTTAGCTTGTTTTATACAAGCAAATTTCTCCGAAAGAGTGAGTTTTATAAATTATTCATGGACGCTAGGATTTCTTAAAACTGGTAATGTGGGTATTTGTTTTTCGCGCAATTTAAGCCTACCGCAAAGATTCCTCGATGGTCTGTGGTCTCGTCAACTTCGGACATAAACTCACTAATTAAATTAAAAAATTTGCCCTTTTATTACAAAAAGAATACAATATAATTATAATAGTTCACTATACTTTAAATCACAGTCTCACTTTCTTCCGTCTCGCCGATGAGGGAAATTGTTTGTACCAATAGGGGGTGATACTTTGTACTGAGGAGGTCACTTTATAGTTTACAATACTATAACTTGTCAAAGCATCGGGAATTTGTTAACATCTCCCTGGTTAGTCGCCAGACTTGTTTCGCGGCGTTTTCCAGAGCTGTCGGCGATTTTCCCTTGAATAAATCTACGTTTGGTAAAAAGTAGTGCGGGCATCGCCTGCATTGAAGGCACGAAATTAATTGTAGGAATATCCCGTTGATGCGATCGGCGAGGCACGATTCGTCCCATTCGCTTTCGCGGGGGTGCTTTTCGCATTCGAAAAGTATGAGGGTTTTCATGTGGTAGCCGGTGACGGGGTTTCCGGGTAAATCTAAGTGTCTATCGCGTAAAGTTTTTAAAATGCTCAGGCACCTTCTTCGGCAACCTCCCTGCAGCAGACGATTTTCGGCTTCGAGAAATGACAGCATCCAAGCGTCACCCTCCATCGCGGACTGTTTGCCCTGAAGCGCTATGCATTCTTTAGATAAAAGATCGAAGCCTTCCGTTTTTACCTCGACGACTAAATTCGGGTGCGGCCAGGGAATTTGCGGCAAGGGCCAGTGTGCGGCCGAACGCGGCCATAAGCCGGCACATTTAAACGCGGGGGTGATTTGCACCACGTACCTTTCGCGAATACGCAATTTAACTTCGGTCGTATCGGCTATCATTTTAACGGAGTCTCTGTACGAGCATTTGTCGCACGCTTGTGCTACGAGGGTTTGGAAACGGGAACGCATTTTACGCGCCGATAGGTATCCGGAAGCGGTTATGAATTCGACCCAAAGTGACATCGAACGTTTACGGCCATCACTTAGTTTTAAAACGGCACATCCAGGTAACGTACCGTCATCGACAAAGTTCAATACGCCCATCTGATTTAAATACAGCACGACCTCGAATTCGTGCGGCGATATCACGTCGAGACCGTCGTATCGGCCGTTGTAATCCGTAAGCGATGAGATAAAACGCGGCTCCTGCACCTCCACTTCTTTCAGGACGTCTTGAACAACGCGGCATACCTCTTGTATGGTTTTGTTGACCTGCAGCTTGCGCACTTGAACCTTTTCGGTATAATACTTATTGATTTGATAGACCATCTTTGATTGTGCCGCCAACATGTCCGGCGGAACCAGCATGTTCTTTGCGAACAGTTCCAGAAACTACTGGTACATTCATCCGGAATCGATGATATCTTCTTCAAGGAGGTCGAAGTGGGGGTTGTTGTGGATATTAGATGATACCGGGATGACGGTGATGGATCGCGAATAGGCACTAAGTCGACACTGCAACTTCGCGCGCGCGGGCCAGGTGAGAACACCCCACCCTCGGAGGCCGGCTTTTACTATTTCAACCGCCCCCGTTAAAGGACCAATCCTCAATGATACTTTATTATTAGTTTACATGAAGTACCTGGTTATTATATTCTTTATACCTCCACTCACCTTAACACCTTTATTTGCATTCGCTTCAAAGCTTTACCGATCACGAACTTGCATGGGGCTAAATACAATTTTCATTCTTTCTCTAAACAAATAATACAAAGCGAAATACAAAATTATGATACCAATGTGAAACAAGTATTTTTTTATTATACCTACCTGAATCACAATCTCCGTTTTAAACACTAAAATGCGTGCGAGAAAAGGCCTTTAAAACACACGTGCTTTAAAGTTGCTAAGTACTGATACTTCAAGTATGACTTTTGAAACTGTCATCTGGGTGAAATAAAAAGATTCTCTTAGGTCGCTTTCTGTAAATGCAGAACACTTCTTTGGCTTGTACCTTACCTTTGGTAGAAGCATTCACAAACGCGCGTAATTTAGTGTATGCTTCAAAATCTGTTCCACTTTTTAATCGCAGCATTGTTTGAAGTTTAGAATGAATGCACCAAAAGGTAAAAGATTTAAATACCTTTGACATTTCCTTCATATATGCCAGCATTATCGATGCATTTAAGACTTTACTCGTAAGTAACTTCCTATTCATCTATGGAAACAACTTCTCAGCATATTCATTATAATAGGCTTTACTGGATTTGGATTTTACACCAACGTTTGTTTAGATTTTACACTAACAAGCGATTTAATGGACGGTGTATTATCTTTTTCAACGGAAATCGTTTTATTCACAAAGACGAGCACCCAGCCGACTTAATTAGGCATGTATTCGAGTATAACGTCAATATGATTTCATTGTATTTCCTATTTTTAAATTATACTGCAGGTATAATAAAAAATACTATAAGATACACGTGTATATAATATTGGTCTTTAAAGCACTTGCAACGTTAAAGGCACTCCGCTTCGCGTCGTGCCATTAAACTCGTTGCACGTGCTTAAAGACTTGATTATACACTTGTATCTTAATATACTATTTACACACAACATCCATAAAAAGCTATTTTGAGTGTGAAAGGTGATACCTACCTACTGCTCGATTAATGGAGAAGACAATTATGCTGATCGCTAGATCTAAGATGTCCACTTTCGATTTTTCTTCATTTCCATTCGATTCACGTAATTTGTTGTTGGGCACAATTGATAATAGTATTGGTTTGATTGATTTTTAATGTAGCTACGTTGCGGTTTTAGTGATATTCATCAGGCAACACAAAGCTTCATTTTTCTAATCACTGCACCTTTATGTTGAATTTTTACACGAAACCTGTCTTGGAGTATAGTTATAGGTACCTACATTGAAATAATGCTATATCAAATTCTTATGCAATTCTCATCATAAACCTATTAAATAATGCGTACCTACAGGGTGATTCCTATAGTACCTGCCACCGTTTGGGAGCCTGTAGGTGGTGCGTAGGGGAGTATTTTGATATAGGACACTTGGGGTCGGAAATCTAAAATAAGGGTGCCAGAGCCAAATTTACCTTTTGGAATTTCGCGCCTGTAGGTAGGCAACCCAACCGGCCGGCGGTGCACACGGAGCGATCTCAGGCGGCGATGTGTGGCTGACACTTGATCAGAATTTTGTTTAAACCCACGAAATCCCGTCTGCAACGACGCGTATCAAGTGAATAAACACTATGGCAATAGTATAATAATAGTTGGCTAGATGTAGGAAGTGCATTGAGAACAACGGTGGCCACGTTGAACACTTGTAAACTTTATTGCTTTTGACTGTCGTTTTCCCTCCTTCCCTCCCATGTCGCTTCCTCGCGCTAACTCGCTCTGCATCGCTCCGCGCGAAACGTCGGTCGGTTGGGTTGCCTACATACAGCGTGAAATTCCAGAAGATAAATTTGGTTCTGGCGCCCTTATTTTAGATTTCCGACCCCAAGTGTCCTATATCAAAATACTCCCCTAGACACCCCCTATACGCTCCCAAACGATGGCAGGTACTATAGGAATCACCCTGTATACCTATTTATGCAGCCGAAGTGAAAATATTTCAAAAAGTGCCTGTTTTGTATAGTGGTGATGGTAACGTAAATTTTTTATACCCAAACGTAGATATAAATTTTTGGTATCTGGAATAAACTGAAACGTTGGAGATAGAACAAATCGTGCTACCAGTTAGCTTTACATTACATTGCCTCCAGGTCCCCACCTTGAACCTTGAAGGACCGTACATAAACTGAGCCTAAAATGGGTTGGTATTAGTATGCCTCATCAGAAAAGTAGGTATAGGTACGTGGCAAAAAACAAAAAGTTCGAGTCCCATTATGACATTAACTACCTACCTTTGGTAGCTATAGTACAGACCTCATCCTTATTTATAACATTTCTTGCAGTTTTTTATTCTGCGTCCAATAACAATAAACTATACAGGGTGTTGCATTTATTTAAAAACAAAAAGTGAAGGTATAATTTCCGGCTAAACCGGAAGACATTATACGATTATTAAATGCATTAACAAATAATAAATCGCTACATAAAGAATAAAGTTATTGTTTTATTAAACAAATGATAAACAATTAAACTTGTAAGAAGACATTATAATTAGTAAGAGCATTAATATTTGCTATACTTATAAGCTCACCAATTATTACAAAAATTGCTTCATAAATAACGGAGATAATAGAATATTCCGGGACTGTTTACTTACCCTGTATTTTCGTCCGTAAGTATTTAACTTTGGAAGTAAGTTCAAAACATTACACAGTTCACTTTCGGAAATTTGTGCACCTACTTCAAAGTAATTTGTATTTTGACAAAAATTTAAGTAATTACTAGATTATATACTCGTATATTCTGTAAAAATGTTTGGATAATTCATCGAAGATCGAAGTATTTGTATCGTTTTATTCATTTTTCTCTTATCAAACCACGATACATACAAAATGACAAGCCGAGTTTGTGATTTATTTAGTTTTTCTATACCGAAAGGCTATAAACAGATATAAGCTTCTGAATCTGACGTATAGGTACCTTTAAAACTTCCCTTGAAGGCATTTCGGTAGTGGTTTGCGAAATAGCTGCAAAAGTATTCTGCAGTGTGAGTTATAAAATGAATCAGTTTCTCTCTTGCAAAAGTTTCTAATTCATAAAAAAATTATAGAGTACATGTACTACCTAAACGATCATAAATTAGCATACGACGTTGTAGACAGAAGTTCACTTTCTTACATGTGATAATTTCAACTACTTAAGTACCTAATATCACAGTAAAATTCTTATTAAAAATCCCCTTTGGAATTATTCTTTACGTGGGAAGTCATTTTAACTATAACTTCCAAAGGCGACTCGACGTCAATCCTTTTTTGATCACCCGTTAGTAACACGAATGTTTAGCGAGGAGCTGAATGGCTTATTTCAGTTTTATAGGATCTTCGGGTTTACCGAAAGTTGACTCGAGCTTCCGTATACTCTAGTATTTATTTCTTTTCTAAATCTAAATTTGGAATGAATCTAATCAACATTTTTTAGGTTTTTAAAAGTTCAAAATAAACCTTTTGTAGCAAAACCTATTTTTAAATGAAAGCTATATTGCTTTTACGACCGTTTCAGATCAGTTCTCACTTTTTAAAAAGGGAGAACTTTAATTTTTCTTTAGTAATATTGCGTTTCCGGCTGCTATTTGGGAGGTTATGGGTTCGACTCACTGTACTCTTCTCTCTTAGTAACCTAACTCCGTCCCTTCCGTTCCCATCCTTAACTTTACGCATCCTTTACATTCCCGTTCTCTGGGTGAAGAAGGTCAGGAAACCCGGAGCAGCCCGCTTCCGATATCCCTCGGGGTGTCGGAGGAATGAAACACGTTGACCTTTACCTTTTCATTTTGGTCATATACAGACTGTTTCATCACGCAAACCGTTTCCTAAAAGTCTCTTATTGGTCATTTAAATCGGAAAATTTGGATACCAACACAATTTTTCCTAATCGATCGAAAGAAAATATTATCATGATCTTGCCACTTCCGGTTTTACCGAATGTGGATAGCAACTTTCTTATTTTAAATAGAACGCACTGTATTTGATTGCATTTTCGAAATATACATAAAATCTACGTCATTTGACACCACATTTCCCTACACCCGGCATCAAAGGTTTTCAAGTTATTCAAGATTTTTCAAAATTTTTGACTGCTATCCTTTTCAGCCTTGTAGGTACCTCTATGCCTCCGTTGACTTGGAATTTGAAAGAGTCTTCCAAAATCAACAACATTGACTTGATACTATATGAGAATGTAATAAATTATGGTCGCTCTTTTACAGTGTGTTTTAATGGTCAATTTTAATAACTTCAAACCTTAAAAAGTTAATTTTTTTAAATACAACATGCTTTATTTTTTCGTATTTTCCAATGTCCAAAAAAAATCTACATCGATCAATTATTACATTCCCCTATCTGTATGCTTTCCGTTTTATTTTAGATTTTCTAAAATTGTGACCGTTATGTATTTATTTTTAACAATTATTATAATTGATGTACCGTTCTTGGAAACATTGCCTGGAAACTAATGGTTTCAACTTGATGGGGCACCGGCTCAATCTACATATGATGCTTATATGTCCTTAACGAACATTTTTGAAGACACAGATCGTACACGTCGCAAAAAAATCTTTCCTCTAACATTAATGAAGGCCTAGAGACGCGTTGTACTAAAAGAACTGCTCGACCACGTTCCGATGCATGTTCGAATACATTTACGGGATTTCGAGGATAGAATCCGCATTCGATATAGTGCTATCCTGTGTTGTTCGTTAGTGCATCAACTTGCATGAAATTCTGACCAATAGGCATTAATTCAAATAAACTTTAATTTGGGACTTGAAAAGTAACTTTCCAACGAAACATTTTCGATTTGTGTTTATTTAGAACATATCTGACGACGCTTTACGGGATAAGTGGGTATGGTATGGACCATCTAATTTACCCCGGCACTAACTGGGGAGAATTCCAGGGAAGTAGAGTGGCAAGCAATATTAATACGATACCCTGCAGTATGTATATAACATTAACAAAAGGGGGGATATAGTTTTCTGTTAGTTGTAGCTTAGAAAAGGGAGTTATAGGAAAATAATTCGCTGTGTGGTAAGGAAGTTGCACAACAAAAATCCAGGATCATTGTTTAATCCGGTATTACGACATTTGATTGGCTTTATACTGCAGTATGCAGCCAATCAAACGTCAAAATTCTTGTTTAAACTCAGATTTGGCAAATAATGTAGGATTTTGATTATAATTCGTTTTCCTACAACCGGCCGATAATGTATTATTGTTAACTCGACAAAACTTGTGAATAAATAAAGACGGGAAATAGCGCGACATTGCACATAATATAGTTTTGTTCATCAAGGCAAAAGGGTTCCAGTTTTTTGGAAAAATGGGTGCTAATTTATATACATACATACAAATGGGTCGTTAATGGAAAACAATACATGAATAATTTAAAATTTAACTACACTCTTTTTAATTGAACATAGGCAAATCTATTTTTGTGTGTTTATTTGCAATAGACGATTTTGTCAACACTACACCTACTTTGACTTATGTTGTAAAAAAATCCGTAGCAAAATGGGACCCTTTCATGAGAGTTTCTTGCTGGAGCACCTCTATTTGCATAAAGCTCTTGCCCAAATTTTTTTGTTATTGCGTTAAATCTATACACCAATCAGATACATTAAGAACTGTTAAGCACTTGCAATTGAAGAATGTAAGAAAAATCTTCTTCATTTACTAAATTTTCTTCAATGTGGAGTAGGTATTAGGTAAAGTTTGAAATTTTGAAACATTTAATTTTTTTGTACAGGGTGATTCAAATTCGTGGTGTGTAGGTTAAATGAAGGACAAGTTTCTCCTTTTTGTGACTAAAAAAACTTATTTGAAATGTTTCAAACTTCTTTGAAAATAACTGAGGTATCACCGAAAAAGTGAAAATGTTAAATTTCGTATTCATTTTCCATATCTTAAATGGTCGGAAATGGTCAGTTCTCGTTAGCACCTTCTATGGGCACAGAACTTCCATAACACGCTACAAGAAGGTTGGGCTACTATTTTTTTATGGGAACTATATTGAATTTTTACAGAATAAGATAAAGGACAAAAAAGAAAAGCATTGACGTATGCTTTCACATAAATTTACAAGAAAAATTTCGAATGCGATTTTTCATTCACAAAAAGGAGCCACTATTTCCCCATTTAACCATCATTGTATCTCTCGCCTTTACGGAGATTCCAATGGTGAATCACGAATGGAACGACCCCGTACAGGAGTGATTACAAAGAAAAAGCACAAAATGGTGTATTTCAATAATAACATTCACCGCACGGTTTACCCCAGATATATAAAAAAATATTTAAGGGGTGTTTTATGGGGCGCAAGATCGATGAGAAGCAACGTTAATTTTGAGTTGAGGACTTATGTTGTTTATTTTAATCTAATTTGTCACCTGATTTTTAAAATGTACCTATTTAATTGTGTCATTGTCTGATTGGTTTACAATGGAATTTCACCACTACTTCAACTTTTTTTTAAATTCATTGTGTGAAATTTCTTTTTATACTTACCTACCTTTTAAGCAATGCCTATAGTTAGGTAGATACCGTTCTATGAGCACAAAAACAACCTAAACAGTAAAAAAATCCATTTTCTTTTATAATACCCTTATTTTTCATTATATTTCCTACATACATGCCACTAACGGGAAATAGGGGAAATATGAATTTATTCTAATTATGCCATTAGTATACAAAACATGTACTTGTACTAAAATTGGACTCTTTATGCAATTAGATACTTACCTACCTACAGAAATATTATATTACCCCATATCTTGAATCTTTCTCCAAACCTTTTATATGTCGTATACCTGGATGGACTCTTTCAATACGTATAAAATTTACGTTTTACGCTGGAATCTGGATCGAAACACTAAGACGATATAAACAACCCCAATCTATACCCTACACATTTAAAAAACTTTATTACGCCCCTATTACTAAAGCCGTTAAAAGGACCACAAAACTTTTTTTAATTAATTTAAAAGGAGTCTCGGTAATGAATGATCAATAAAAATTGTGTTTTATCTCGTTTTATGTATACGACGTGATAGAATAATTTTCTAATTAAGGAATCGTATTGGTGTAATAAAAATGGAACTATGCACCGCCTCGTATACCTATATACGTTTTTATAATACCTACCTATAATGTTTAAAAAATGGGAAAATGTTATACGCGCGCCCTACTGTATTTAATTAACACATTTATATCTCTTTTTATGTCCATTACGCCACTTTGTCGAGAAAAATTCGTGACGGGCGACGGTTATACAATTTTTTCTCACAGTTAATGTAATAAAGCTATAGGAGGGTTTAAATCTCGGATCGCTCCTATTTTTAGATACGTCTGAATTATTGAATAAATTTAATTATTTACGAGTATTTACGGATTTAAATCGTTGGATATTGTGAATTTATTTTCATGGACGGGTATACGCTTACAAATTTATGTACAAAATAAACAATAATTTGGGCACGGAAGAGATAGCAGAAGCTTTTCCCTGTGCAATAATTTGTGTGTATTTATTACTTACGCATGGTTATTTTTTTCAGGTAAGAATTCGCTGTGTCTCTGTTTTGGGTGAGTTTTTGAATTGATCGTTTAATTTTTTATTTCAAAGTTGGAATGCCAAGCGCGACGGTGATTTATAAAAGGCAACAATTCCAACATATAATCTTTTTTATGTTTAACAAAGCATAATAGTAGGAGAAAATTATTGTACCTATTATATGAACGTATAGGTTATAGGTGGGTTTTCTAACTTAATTTAGTCCGTGTGCTGTCTAGAAATGGAAGTAGATAATTGACCATATACTGCATTTTCCCAGGCATTTTAATGTCAAAACGTCGTAGTCTAAAAGAACCATATTTGTTTATCATTTAATAAATTAGACTCTTGAATTTGATGGGGTGGTAACAAAGGTAACAACGCACATGGACTGATTGTTTCATGTTTAATGGTCGATTTATACTCGTACAACTAAACGAATATTAGATGTGAAATTTTAAAGGAAAAAAACGCAACACGTTCTTGGAGTTCCTAATAGTAGTATCCCCAATGCAGTGTCAATTTATTAAGCCAAAGGACTGGCACCAACAAATAATGAACAATATTGATGCGAAGTCATGAAATTGAAGTAAAACGAATGTAATTCTCTGTAACTGCAACTTGTTTTCCAGAAATGCTTAGACTGTTTCAGGTAAAGCACAAAATCAGCAAGCCATATAACACAGTGGTCAAGATAAGGGTGTTTTTCATGGGGATCCCGGAAACCGTGGAAGTTACGACCATGGCCAATTTAGAGAAAAATTGCGCTGTTACAGAGTTATAATCATGCTTTAAAGAAAACCAGAAAATTCCGATTACTTTCGAAGATTTGCCAGTTTTCCCATTTCCATTTTATTTGATTCTGATGTTATTGGAACAGATACAAAAAAATAAAAAAAACACTCTCCTTACGACTTTTTGAACTCTACACCTGTATTCTTTATATGAACCGTTCGGAATTTTCTGGTTTTTGTTCAAGGCATGATAATAACTGCTTAATTGCGCAACTTTTCCATCGTATCTTCTATGATTTCGGAGATCTCCATGGTAGGCATCCTTATCCTGCACACAGTGTAAACTTAGTTCATACATCTAGCACACGGAATGCTAGATTTCATGTTTTCTAAATCATGGCCTTTCTAAATATTGAATAACCAATTTCTCCATTTGTTTTGTATATCAACCACATGCATATTTTTTGTTGTCGTACAACAAATTCATTGCTCTTTTCAAATACCTTAAGAAAATATAGGCATTGCATTTGAAAAACAAAAATTATAATATTATATTTGACAAATTTTTCGTATCTCGTCATGTAAAAGAGATATTGAGGCGACCCTCTTATCTCGACACACTGTATAAGATAATATAAATTTAGTATATTAATATTTTATTATACCGGGTGAGTTTCGTCCTATGTTAAACATGGGCATTTTGGAAAATTGTGGCGATAGAGAGAAGAGAAACGGGGAAAAATTTGGAGTTTGTGACCAGAATCGAATGTCCTCTTTATTTTTGATCTGAAAAATGTAGGTACGGCTCTTTGTCGAGTTATGACTAACCTGAAAAACTTTTGTTTTTTTCTAATGGAAAGCACGATTTTATTTAAAAAAAAAGGTCCCCTTTTAACGTGGCGATACACTAATAAAACAGTAATGCACAGTTGTTTTATGTTAGGTGTCAACCAGACCCGTAGCCAGGTTTATAGTTTAGGGGGTGCCCACAAAAAATTTGGGGGTGCTAAATTTTTAGGAATATAATATTTATTTACATGTCGTATACAATAAACTACAAGTAACTGCAACTTTGTATTTTTCTGTCCGTTAAAAAGTTACATAAAATGCTCTAAAATCTGTTTTTGCAGTGTAGGTACTTTTTCTCGAAAGATAAAAATATTAAATCGGCCATTCTTTGGTGTAGTATGGCACTGCGCTGTGATCTATTCCTTCTAGTTAACACAGAAAAACACGATTCGCATAGGTAAGGCCGTGCTGGACCCAAAAGTTCTGATGGCCGCCATTAGTTCGTGCAGGGTGAAAGTTTTGTCTGGAACACTGAATTCAAAACAAAATTTGTTTAAAGAAGCTTTTTATTGCATCCCAAATTATGAAAAGTTTGGTACCAGTCTACTATCAGTCAACTGTTTCCATTGCCCACTACTACTACAGACTGTTTTAGAGTAAGCTCCTTATTTTTTCTTCTCTACAGTCTACAGACACGAGGGTGCAATCAGATTTTCAATTGGACGAATTATTTCAAAATATGGACTTTCAATTTTTTTTTTGAATTGAATACCACCTTTTATTTATTATTTGGCCTCCGAAAAACATTCTTTTTACGGTACGGTACGTTTTTCTTAAAAATGCATTTCTTTCCCTATCAAAAAGTGAACTAACAGTTTAAAATCTATAGGTGTAGCGCATATGAATGTTTTCCACTCGATGGTATTTTTGCCAAAATATCAAGTAGGTACTTAGCGGCGGTAGATACAAAAGAAACATTTAAACTTTACTGTGTTAAAGATCCTTTTTGAAACTTAAAATTAAAAATTGACATCAAATAAAGAATTCCCGTATTGAAAATCGTATGCGATTTTTCGTATCTTGTTTTTGAATACCTAAGTTATGAACGTCCAATCCAAATTGCCATTGGTGCATTGCAAGTGATGGTGGCAATTTAAATTGTTTAGTTGGGGGTGGTAAGGGCGCATTCAGATTGAGTCCCCCTCCATACTACAGAAACAGTTGAGTATTTTTTTACATCTCTAATAGAAAAAGAGATATGATCCATTGAAACATTTTAAATCATTGCTTATGTTTATCTTTTATTATTGAAAAAAAGACAACTGTGCATCAATATAGAAAAAAGTTAAACACATAATTTAAAATTCATTATATTTTCGGCATTTAAAAAAAAGTCGATAGAAGTGGGCCTTTTTTTGGAAGTGACTGCGTTTATCAATGTACTATCTGTAATAGCTGTCAAAATGGTGGTCAAGTTTCAGTTTAGCATTAGTAATATTATTATGTATACAAAAAATACACAAACAGTTACATAGTCCCAACTCCCAATTGCATTTGCAGTGCCTCAACTTACAAACTGGTCGCCGTGTAATGTAAGGTTTGCTTAGTATTATGTTATTTAGCATTCAACGAATGTAAAAGTTCGGCTTACTTGCATTACCTACTAATCACAACCCAAGGAATGAGGTGCCAATTTCTTACACCTTACCATTTAAAAACTCAGTGCCTGTTGCACCCACCACAGTTACAGTCCACATACGTTTACAAATTCCAAAAGTTACCCTTCAAATATCATGAGCAGAGAAGTTCTTTCGAGCTTGTAAGTAGTACCTATAAAACCCTCATTCATTTTAGAGTTCTAGATAAATTGCTCACATTATTTTATGTCATACTTCTACTACAATTTAAGTTTTTGATAATATTTTTACCTACACTTAGGATTGTTCAAAAGTATATCTACAGAATACACGATTCTAAATATCATCTTCATCTTCCCTTTCCCAGATAAGTTTATATACCTTGCCTTGGCACCATTTCACAAGTAATTTCCAACCTACTTCCGCTCCAACTATGCTTTTCAGGAAATGAATTCCTAGTTAAAACCAAAGACCAACCACTTCCTTTATCGATCCCGTGTTTACCAACTGCCTTCTAGATATTGCCCTGCTGCTTATTAATTGGACAAACTAGTCGTTCAAAATAATACCCTTCTTTATCAATCCCTAAACAAAAATCATCCTTTGCCCACCACATCCTCACTGCCGGCCATTCCTTGTGTAAAGACGATTTTCAAATTTTGCATTTTCGTAATAAGAGCCTGAAATTGGACTTTTTATAAGTAGATAATAGTTATTTATGTATTAAGGGCATAATCAAAAGATTATGGCACGAGAGAATGTTTAAAGCTCGACGAAGGAGGGCTTTTGATTTCTCGAGGGCCATAATCGATTATGCCCGTGGTACATACAGCGTTTTATTCTATTTTAGCACAACTTCTAAAAAGTTAAAAGGGATTAGTAGTTCTTGCAGGAATTTGTCGCTAACCAAATATGAGTGGTGTAGATAGTTGGCGTTTTTTGTGTTGCTATGGATACTGAGACTGTTTACTTTTTATCAAACAATTCGCTGTTGGAAATGAGTGTATAGCTGAAATGGAAAACGTTTATTCTTACGAAATATTACGTGAATTCGAAATCGCACAAAGTAAAGTGGTTCCTCATAAATCCAAAGATCTATATGAAATGAATACAGCAAGTTTTGCGAGTGGCAGTATCGTTGCTATAGGCAATTTTTGACAGTTCTGTGCCATAAAGTCCAATTAATACCCTCATTTGGGTGCTTATAAAAAGGATTATAATCTAAAATAGAATAAAAGAGATTTACCATTATCACAAAGCAAATCCTTAACAGTCCTTCAATAAAACTTTAAATTTACATAAGAATTTTCTATTTTGAAATAGTTCACTAAATCAGTTACATTTGTGAAAATTAATTCACTCAATGTTTAGAATATCCCTCTATCGTCTTGTAGGTACCTATAATAAATAAGTAATTATTGTTTGTTAATGTGAGATTGTGAGTTTATTTTTCAAAATAACTAAGCTTCTAGAGTAATGGTATAGAGCAATAAGACCACATTATTCTATCTAAACGGTTAGTGTAGGTAGAGGCAGCTCAGAAGTGCAATTATAAAGTGCTCTTTATTTGAATTTAAATCTTTGAATCAAATACGTATATCTATACTGCTTGCTAACTTTTTAAAAGGAAGGGTACCTACCTATATACTTACCTAATGAAATTAATTCGTCGTCTTCATTGCGTATATACATATACGTTCATCTAATTCAATGTATACGTAGCGACTCCACTTAAGAAGCTTGTAATCGGTATAATGAAACGTGTATAGTGATTTCAGTAGAAATAATTGGAAATTCAAATCAATTTAAGTATAGCATAAATAGGCTTAATTAGCATTCTTATACGTCCTTATAAATTACGTACGTTTAAAGTTCATTATAAATATGGAATGTTCCATTAAGATTACTTTTATGGCGGTTCATTAAAAGAAAATTGTGTTCGCATTGCGGTATACAAGCTTTTATTCCCATAAATACTTAACAGTAAATCACATTGTGTTGGAAATAAAATAATTTATACTTAAATAACATGATATTTACACAATATACAAACAATAATGATGCAACGCTATATAATAACTAAATTCGAATATAATAAATATACAGTCAACTGAAAATTATTATGGCACTAAAGAGATAGAAACCGGGACATTTTTGAAATCACAAATTTGGCCTACATCGAATATACGCGTTTTTGAAAATATACAGGAATGATTACAATTTTTCGAGACACCTCGTATTCGTCAACATTTCGCGTGTTAGTCTCCACACTTGTTTCGACGCATTTTCGAGTGCACTAGGGGATTTACCTTTGAATAAGTCCAAGTTGGGTAGGAAATAATGTGGGCACCGTTTGCACTGTAGGCAGGAGATGAGTTGTAAGAAAATGCCATTAATCCTGTCCCCAATGCAGGACTCGTCCCATTCGCTTTCTCGCGGGTGTTTTTCGCACTCGTACAGTAACAAAGTCTTCATGTGGTAACTTGTGACGGGGTTTCCGGGTAAATCGAGATGGCGATCGCGCAATGTTTTCAAAATACTTAAACACCGTCGCCTACAACCGCCTTGTAGTAGGCGGTTTTCGGCCTCGTTAAACGATAGCACCCAAGCGTCGCCTTCCATTGCGGATTGTTTTCCCTGAATCGCCACACTTTCCTTTGATAACAAGTCGAAACCTTCAGTCTTAACCTCGGCGACGAGATTGGGATGGGGCCACGGAATGTGAGGTATGGGCCAATGAGCCGCGGATCGGGGCCAAACACCTGAGCATTTAAACGCGGGTGTTATTTGCACAACGTACCTTTCGCGAATTCTTAATTTAACTTCTGTCGTCTCGGAGATCATTTTGACACAGTCTCTGTAGGAGCACTTATCACAAGCTTGGGCAACAAGAGTCTGAAAACGCGAACGTATTTTGCGCGCCGAAAGGTAACCGGAAGCCGTAATGAATTCGACCCAAAGCGACATGGATCGCTTTCTTCCGTCGCTTAGTTTCAAAACCGCACAGCCAGGTAAAGTGCCGTCATCCACAAAGTTAAAGACACCCATTTGATTTAGATATAACACCACCTCGAATTCCGTAGGGGAGACTACTTCCAAACCCTCGTATCTACCGTTACATTCAGTTAGCGACGATATAAATCGCGGCTCTTGCACCTCCACCTCTTTCAGTACGTCCTGCACCACCTTGCAAACTTCGCGTATCGTCTTCGCAATTGTACCCATTCTCGTCTGCACCCGTTCCCCGTAATACTTATTAATTTGGTACAACATTTTCGACTGGGCCGCCAGCATATCTGGTGGCACCAGCATCATAAAAACACCTGAGGGTCAACTCGCTCCCGCCGTCGCTTTCAGACTGTACGACGGTCAGGTACGGAAGTCAAAAGTTTCGGCCTTAAAGGCGTGTGTAAATTTGGGCACGTCCCTTACGTCGTTTTTTCTCTGCGCAACGCTATGGACGTTTAAACGCTATGGAATCGATGCTTGGCGCCGCCTTTTCATTTCAAATGTACGCCTACAATGTGTGTACTCTCCTTTATCCCTTGCAGGATACTGAATTAAACATAAAAAATCGGAAAATCGATAGAGGTCTTTGGAGGGAAAAGGGACTGCAATATCACGTTTGCTTTTCAAATTTTTCCAAATCGACTGAACTCAATTCACTTCAGATTTAATCACCTAAAGTTTATTTATTATTTATATATTATTTTACTGAGTAGTATTATAGTACTTATACCAGATTAATTGCTTTAAACTAACGAATATAGAGCCGGAATCGTCTGATACTATTTGCTTTTAGTGGGGCAATATGGCAATATAGGTGTCTTGAAAGAAATTTGAATTCGATCAGCTGGAACTGCTGGAAGTTAGTGAAAAATGAACTGAAGAATACGGTAATTAACAGCAGTTGTCGCCTTGGCGGTATGTGAGATGTAGGTTAAAATTTTGCTTAATATGAGGAAGTATATGTAAAGGTAGATGGATTGGATAAGCCATCAGGAAGTGATCCTACTGATGTTTTTCATTGAGTTCCTGTGGTAAAACTTGCGTTGCTAATATTAGCCGAACACCAGCGCCCATCAGTTTATTCGTTTCGTTACCTTCCGTAACTCAAAAACTAAAGCACCTCACATTTTAATTTATCAATTTAAAATAAGCTCTAACAGTAAAGCTTAGACAATTGATTGACAGCTATAAGTAGGTATATACTTCGTTTTTAAAGCTTTCATGTTATTCTCAATTTCATGGCACATCAGGCATAATTTGTATTAGAGGTTGATTTCTCTTTCAATTTCTTTAAATTTCAGCGAATTACATTCCGTGCTCGAACAAAATTAAAATTTGGAGGCATTTTGAGGCAGAAATTAACTCTAATCGCAATGCTTAGACTGCAGAGGGATTATTGATCCGGTTGATTTCAGTTTTGCTTCTTCATAAATTTAATAGGTTGCGTAGGTACTCTGCTTTGAACAAATTTAAACTTTAAAACAAGCCTTTACAATAAGGCCTAGATTACTCAGAGACATTTCGATTTTTTGCGTGTCAGCTCTCGCTCTCGATAGAGGTCAATTTCTGTCTCAATTCTTCCATAAATATCACTAGGTTGTGTTCCGCTTTGACGTAGGCACTTTGAGGTAGAAAACGGTAAAACTTAGGTTGCTTCGATTTTAAAGCTTGCATTTCGCGGTTGATTTCATGGCACACTACATTTTGTTCGCTGTAGATGGCTTTAGGGGCTGTCTCAATTTAGTTGTCTGCGTATAGTCTGGTTTGAAACAATTGAAACTTAGGCACGTTGAGGCCAAAAAACAACAAAGCCTAGACTGCTGAGGAGCTCTGCGATTTTAAAATTTGCATAGGTATATATAGGCATTTTCAATTTTATAGCACACTCGGTTTTGGGTTGTTTTCTAGTGGTTTAGGGGTTAATTTTTGTCTAAATGCTTCTGAAATTCGGTGCGGAATATTACGCGTAATCGAATGTAGCAGTCGCCTTTCATTCGCGCTCAATCGCGAGGGATTTTTCTCTGTATGAAATCGTAAAATTGAGGGTATTGTAGGTGCCATATAGGTACGAATTGAAATCCCAGCGATTTGTGCTAAAAATAATAAGCTCTAACATTAAAGCTTAGACAATTATGATTGATAGCTAAGTACCTATACTTCGTATTAGAGGTGGATTTCTCTTTCAATTCCTTTAAATTTCACCGAATTACATTCCGTGCTTAAAAAAATAAAGTTTTGAGGCAGAAATTAACTCTAATCGCAATGCCTAGACTGCAGAGGGATTGTAGCTTTCTGATTTGCTTCTTCATAAATTTAATAGGTTGCGTACTCTGCTTTGAACAAATTTAAACTTTAAAACACGCCTTTACAATAAGGCCTCGATTACTTAGAGACATTTCGATTTTTGCAGTTATAGCTCTCGCTCTCGATAGATTTAGGGGTCGATTTCTGTCTCAATTCCTCCATAAATTTCACTATAGGTTGTGCTCCGCTTTAACGTAGGCACTTTGAGGTAGAAAACGGTCAAACTTAGGTTGCTTCGATTTTAAAGCTTGCATTTCACGGTTGATTTCATGGCACACTACATTTTGTTAGCTGTAGATGGCTTTAGGGGCTGTCTCAATTTAGCTGTCTGCGTATAGTCTAGTTTGAAACAATTAAAACTTAGGCACTTTGAGGCCAAAAAACCACAAAGCCTAGACTGCTGAGGAGCTCTGCGATTTTAAAGTTGACATATAGGCATTTTCAATTTTATAGCACACTCGGTTTTGGGTTGTTTTCTATTGGTTTAGGGGTTTAATTTTGTCTTAATGCTCCTGAAATTCGGTGGAATGCGGACTCTGCTTTGAAATAATGACGTTTAAGCACTCTGTGGCAGAGAACAAGTTGAAGCTCGACTGCGGTACCAAGGGTTGCTGGTTCGAATCCGGGTTTGGGCTTGAATATTTGGAAATGTATAGTGGGTTGGCCAAAAATAAATAAATAAATAGGTAACAGCAAAGCCTAGGCGCGTTGAGGGATACTTCATTTTTAACATTTGCATACCTATATCTTTGTCGAGTACATGGCACAATCGGTTTTAGGTCACTGTCGATTGGTTTAAGGGCTGATCTCTGTCACTCTGTGATTTCAGTGAGTTGCATACTTTCCTTACAAAAAATTGAAGTTACTCAGGTACCTAATAAGTAATACTTAAAGTTTGCATATCACTGGCCCGCTCTATAATTTGGTGTCCGTATAGGGGTCGATTTCTCTCTCGATTACTCTATATGCTTCAGAAAAATTGATATTTCTACTCTATAAGGCAGAAAAACAAGCTTTAACAACAAATCCTAGGCTGTTCACGGATGGTTCGATTTTAAAGTTTGCATAGGTAATATCATTGTAGACTTTATGGCGCACTCAGTTCTAAAAGTCCCTCTTCATAAGGGGTTGATTTCTGTTTAGGACAAATTGAAACTGCGCCACTTTGGACCAGAAAAAAGAAGCTCTTGCTCTATAATCGCATTGTACCTATAGGCGCGTATTAAACACTTTATAGTCATACCCCTGGGTTCTCCAACATTTTGTACTTTTTTATTTTCGGTAGGTGTACTGAAAATTATGTTTTTAATTTCTCGTAAACACTTGGATTTTTTCTTTCAGATTTCTCTGCATTTTGAAGCAAATAAGCAACGATCGTAATTTTCGAAGACAATGATAGTCACTGATGCCTGTTTTATTTTTACATGCATATAATATTGGCTACGATATTGCTTAACAATTTAACCAGCAGTTCGGGCACCTTCTCTTGTTTTGCACTGTGGGCCGTTCTGACGCAGAACTTTTTACTTTATCCTACAGACATTCAATTTATGTTCCACTGTTACTCTATAGGTATACGAATTAGCAGTTGCAATGGAGGGAACCTATTAGAACACCGGTAAATATAATGGCACTGAATGTGAGACATGGTTTTTTTAATTTAATCGTATTAATGAGTCGACGTTCTGGTCACAACATGTAGATTTAAAATGTGATGGTGGAAACTTGGAGCATACCTACATTTATTTTCATTACCTACTAGTAGGTACCTATTATTTTTTCGTTTAATAAAATAATTTTGCTACAGTATGATGGTTTACGTCTCAATAATATTATTAAAGAAAAAAATCATCATCTCGATAACGAAGCATTTCCCCCCATGTTCATAGGACATTTTCGACTCTAATTCATCTATAAGGACACAGTAAAATTGTATCCCTTTCCTCGCGACACCCTGTGTAAGATGTGGTTTCTTTGCTTACTAGCACATATGTGGTACCTATATACTAAGGAGAGAGGAGACTATAATATGCCATTTATTTTATGAAAATAATGATCAGTTAGTGTTTTGCGTTTACTACTCAATATTGCCTAAGAATCTTTTTTCTTGTGTTAGCGAAAAGGCAAGAAAAATGAATCGTAAACATTGTTTTAATTTTTTTAATTTTTGAGGGTTTTCGTCCCACCTTCATGAATCTCCAAGCAATGTTTAAAAATCCTTTTAATTAGCTATTTACAATTCCTCCTCCCTCTCCCTCTCGCTTATTTGTAGGTGTAGAAGTGTTGAATACAAATCTTTTACAAATACGGGCTAATATTTTTTATAGTGTGTAACGACATACACGATAAATGTCCTATACCCTGCCCTTCAACAAAAGTGAGAATTACAACGGTCAAATAGCGTATAGGATCAGGGTGCATAGAGTTGGACACCAAATATCATCTTTTGTATTGGTAGGTATATAGTAGGTATTAAATTCTAGATAATAAATGTGCCAAATTCTTGACAGAGTAGCTTAGTAGCTCAAACCAAAAATTGCGCTTTTAGAAGAGAGTGTTCAGAGTGGTATAGGGAAAAAAACGTTTCTCACAAAAGTTTATTCTTTTTCGATGTAGAATAACAATAAGAATATTTCATAAAAAGTGACCCTTAAAGGACAGTTATGTAAAAATGTTCATAGCATCATTAAATTCATATGAAGCATATTTTATATGAATCATTTTTTGATGTCGCCCCGATAGTTTCCGCAATAATCGGCTGTCCTAAGATAAATGGGCGTACAGGGCGTATATAAATTAAATAAGTAATATTCAAATATAAGATTACGGAAATGGTAGTCGCAACTCACGAAAGAAATGACCCACCCTCGGCTACACCCCAATTCGTCTCCTTTATGCATCAGGTGCACCCTGAAACTGACATCTTTTCTAGGCAAATGCTTGCTTCAAAACTATCGAATATAAACCGCTATTTATTTTCATTTTGTTCCGAATTCCATTGTTATACTCGGACAAAAACTACCCTTTATTAAATTAATAATTCTAATTAATTCCCGACAG